AATATTCACATATACTTCCTTCTATAGCACAGTCTAAGCATGAATGTTTGCCTTCTTTAGGAAGGTTCAGAGAAGCAGCCAGGTGACTGAGCTCTGATGTTATCATATGCAAAGAGGCTGTTTAAAGTTTTGATCTCTGCAATTTTAAAATTGTGTAAGATAGATAAAATTCATTTTGAATTTTTGTTTTTTGTTGTTAGTGGTGCCCACCCCCCTCCCCAGACAGGGTTTCTCTGTGTATCTCTGGCTGTCCTGGAACCTCGCTCTGTGGACCAGGCTGTCTCAAACTAGGAGATCCGTCCCGCCTCTGCCTTCTGAATGTTGGGATTAAACACTTGTAAGAAAATAATTTTAAGCCCATTCCCTATGGAAGGATACTATTGTAGCCCAGATACAGCAAAGAGGGCCTGGGCCCTCCCCTAAACGATATGACGGATTTTGAAGGTCCCTTGTGGGCGGCCTCACTATCCTTGGGGATGAGTTGGGGGTGGACTGGGGGGGCTGGTGGGGAACATGGGAGGATGGGAGGGCGAAGGAATGGGGGGATGGATATGTAAATATGAGTAGTAATTAAATAATTTAAATATAAAAAAGCTACCACACCTCAATTAAATGTTTTCCTTCATAAGAGTTACTGTAGTGATGGTATCACTTCACAGCAATAGAAAGGCAGTGTATACGTATGTATGTATGTATGTATGTATGTATGTATATAGGGCCAGACTGAGTAGATGATAGATGGATCGATAGGTTCCTCATACAGTGATCCTTTATTTGATTTTTTTAAACAAATATATAGCCTGAGAAATAAACCAGAGAAACATCACCCTTCACAATAGCCATAAACAACATAAAATATCTTGGAGTAAGTAACTCTAACCAAACAAGTGAAAAAAAAAAAGAAAATAATTTTAATCTCGATGTTCTTTAAATGTTAATTGTAGGTCCTACATACAGAAAAGCAAAACTGCCATTTTAGGGATAAACGCTGTAATTCCATAGAAAGAATATGGAGGTGTTATTTCTCAAGTCTTTCCATAATGAAACCACAGTGACTCAGATGGTACGCAAGAGCTCATCCCAGGACTGTGGCTCTACAAGTATTAACACGCCACAGACACCAGCAAACAATCTGCCCTGACTTTGAACCTGAAAACCAAATGCTGCTGTGAAATGATGTGACCAAAGCAAGAAATGGCTGTTACCAAAACAAAGCATGGGCGTGCCATCAAGCAGAAAAAGGAACAAGAATAACACTACACAGAAGACATGCTTTATACACTAACCCTTACACGTAATTCTTTGTAGATCCAGAATGCTTAGCTGACTAAGATGATGACAAACACCATCTACAGACTTCCAGATGCTATTACTAAATCCAAAGTCAGCATGCAGGTATTTGTGCTACCTTACACTCATAGACTCTTAGGAAGTAGAATGCCTCTCACGGTTCTACATACATGTCCTCATCCTTCATGTTTCTCCGCTTGGACTCTGTTCACAATTCATTTTCATCCATTTCTGTAGGAGAAGTCCTATGGGTGAAATAGGATGAATAACCCCCATCCTCTGGTATAGGACTCTGTGTTGGCCAGTTGTTTTCTTGCAAGAGTGGTCTTGGAGACAAGATAAACTGAGTCTCAAAAGATTCCACTGACTCTCCATCTTCCTTCTCCAAGAGGAACTGATACTCTCCAAACCTGAGCAGGCACTTGTAAGGCAAGTCCATTTTATTGAGGTAGCCAAGCTCCTGATTGTCCACCATCAAACTGGTCTTCTTACTCATGTTCTTAATTTCAAAGGAGAGAACAGAGCTGTTGAACTGTTTAAATGACTGTAAAGCAAACTGAACTCGGGAAACCTGTTTGTCCTGAAAAGTATACCTACAGATGTTGGAATTCCGTCCAAATTTCACCTCTTCAATAGAAGGAAATTTCTCTTTGTTGCAAAACCTTATTGATTTAAATATTCCACTTTGCAGCTGGCCAGGATGATAAACAGTCAACTGGAGACAAGTCACGGTCTCTTCTGTGTCAGCGTCTTCAAAGGAGGACATGATGCTCTCTGGCCTGCAACAGTAAAACCATCAGGTTAGTTTAGCCCATACGGCCCTCTCTGAGAGTGAACTCAGAATGGAGTGGGGGATTCCAAACTAAGAAAACTACACAAATCCCTCTTCTCTTGCTTTGTTCCACTTCTCCTTTGACCATTTTCATAGTGTGATGGTTATTAACAGTGCAGTGATTAAGGCAAGGCAGAAGGACACCTCAATTCCTTTCTCAGTTAAGTAGTGACACATGCATAGAAATATGACCGATGTACTTTAAAAATAAAATCAGGTGTGTCGTAGTGGCATGTCATTTTAATTCTTTTTTTTTTAAAAGATTTATTATGTATATGGTGTTCTGTCTGCATGTCTGCCTGCAGGCCAGAGGAGGGCACCAGATCTCATTAAGGATGGCTGTGAGCCACAATGTGGTTGCTGGAATTGAACTCAAGACCTTTGGAAGAGCAGCCAGTATACTTAACCACTGAGCCACCTCTCCAGCCCACCCCCTCTTTTAATTCTTGAGAAGTGAAGGCAAAAAATCATTAGTTCAAAGCCCAGCCTGGGCTACCTGGTGACACTTTATAAAAAACAATTGGTTTGGGTTTTAATATCTGTAGAAGATCTATAGATAGCAAAAACCTACAGTCTCTTAATTCTATTATAACACAATTACTATATATTGTGAAACCTTTTTTTTAAGTAAAAAAACTTAAAGGTTATAAAGAGGGCTGGAGAGATGGAGTAGCTGCTAAGGGCACTGGTTGCTCTTCCAGAGGAGCCTGGTTAGCTGCCCGGCACCTATACGGTGGCTCACAATCTTCTGTTACTTCAATTCCAGGGAATGCAATACTCTCTCTTCTGGCCTTCTTAGGCACTGCATGACATGGTGCACATATATACATATAAGCAAAATGCCCACATACACAGAAACTACAGTAAAAATGTTAATTAAAATTATAAATAAATAGTTGCAACATTATCACCTTATATAACTAAATTAACTTAGATTAAGTTCAATCTTGAATTCCTAATAGATTAATGATTAAAAAGTAAATACTTTGGATGATTCCTATATTCTATAATTTAGACATTACATTTTTAGCAACTCCTATGAGGCTGGCTCAGTATCACAGCCTTTATGTGCAAGTTTGTTTTTTGTAAATGTCTTAAGAAGCAGTCATTAATTAATCACAGTAATTCCATCTAGCTACTGTTGGCATCCCTGGAGCCCAAGGCCTGAGGTGGCCCACCTAGAGCTCACTACATACGATCTACTGCAATGCTAGTGGGATGGGGTGTTATTGGTAGGATTACAACAGGAAAGGAAAAGTCACTTCTTATAACTTTCTGAAGATATTTTGATACAGAACTACCATTAAAAAAAAACCCTAACAGTTTTAAAACTAGATGCACATATGACGTAAAAGTCCAAAAAAGCAAAGCAAAACAAAACAAAACAAAAAAAAGACAGCATTTAGAAACAAGGCTCTCACTCAATCCCATCCAATCTTCTGTTTTTCTGTTCTAGAGCCAACCACTACAAAGTTGCCTTTAGCTTTACAAATAGGTTCTCCACACAAGCATAATTATGTGGCCACACACACACACACACACACACACACACACACACACACACACACACACACACACACGAATGCATGCAAACACAGGTTTTTCCATAGAAAATAATTTCTCTCATACAAACAGAAACACATTATATTTAGTCCTGGACCTTGATGACGCCATGAATATGGGTGACTTTTGCCATAGCTACACAATTCCTTTCACCGAAGGCACCACTTTCAACAGCTGCTGAGTGTTTACTGTGGCCTCTAAAGGACTCTCACTTGTCTGTGTGGTTGGTTTTTATCTGCTTATGCTGACTTAGGGCTTGGGAAGCAATAATCTTCAATGAGGTTTTATGTGCATTGGCGTTTTGACTGCATATGTCTATGTGAGGGTGTCAGATTCCCTGGAACTGAAGTTAACAGACAGTTGTGAACTGCCATGTGAGTGCTGAGAATTAAACTCGGGTCCTCTGGAAGAGCAGCCAGTGCTCTTAACCACTGAGTCATCTCTCCAGCCCCCATCAATAAGATTTTATAAGTGAAATTTATAGTTGTTTTGATTTGTTTACAACAAAGGAAAAATTGGTTAGTATTAAACTACTATCTATCTTAGATGTTGGTATCAAAACCATGCTGGTTTGAAAACTACTTTCACTACCCTTTTATCTTTGCCTTTTACTGTGTTTTCCTTGAGAAGGTCTGTAGTGGTTTGATAAGAATGGCACCATAGACTCATATATTACAATATTTGGTCTCCAGTTGGGGGAATTGTTTAGGATTGATTAGGAGGTGTGGCCTTATTAGAGGAGGCATAGAGGTAATAGCCTTTGGGGTTTCAAAAGTTCACACCATTAATCCCAATCTTCCCATCATGTGCTCACTACACAGCCCCCCAAATTGTCCCATCATACCCTGTGCCCCTCCAAGTCTTCCCATCCTATCTGGTACTGTCTGCTTGTAAGACATCATTTTTCTCCATTTTACAAAGTCATGCTGCTAAATCAAGCTCTGTTCATTTATTCCATAAATGACAGCCAGGCAAAATGTCTTTTGTTAACTTAGAAATTAACCTCTAACTTTAATTTTACATTTTATATCTCTTAGATATTGTTGCAGCATACTGAACTTTGTAACAAAGTAAGAGATTCTCGTGTAAGTTAAAACAATGCAGTGAGAGGAATCCTCAACATCTTGGATCAAGGATAGAAAAATAATTGAAACTAAAGCCAGCAAGAATTAGCTAACATGCAATGGGTGGAACTGATTAAACCACTCCATGCTATACTACAGTATGATAATAAAGTCTCATTATTCAAGAAGCAGACAACATGGAAGAGAATAATTACACTACGTTATGCAACGATGTAATTAACAATTGATAAAAAGAATTCACTGTTGTGACTTTTGGGTAATATCCACTTGCCACCTATATTCCCTGTTTGCTTCATTTTTTTCTTCAGTAAATCTGCATTATGCTTGCAGTTAAAGCATCAAAATAGAATGATGGACTTGGAGAACCGCTTGGCAGGCAAAGCACTTGCCAGTGTGAGGACCACACCTAGATCTCCAGGACTCACATAAACTGAAGAGCATGTCACACATAATCCCAGTGCTGGTAAGAGAGGAGGCAGCCACAGGTAGGTCCCTGGGCTCACTGACCAGCTAGCCTAGCCTACTTTGCAAAAAGTGTAGGTCAATGAGAGGCTTTGTTTCAAAGACGGTAGTAGATGCCTGAGGAATAACACCCTACCTTAGCCTCTGGCCTCTACCTGCATGTATGCACATATCTGAATGCACAATATCACACACACACACACACACACACACACACACACACACACACACACACAGTTTTCTGATAAGAAGCAAAGAACTTTAAAAAAAAGAGCAGAAATAATTTCCATTTTTGTACAGGGGATGCTTCAACTCCAGCTCATCCCCAGGCTAAGTGGTTACAAAAGAACTATGTATAAAAAAAAAAAAAAACAACCAAACAAACAAAAACCAGTAGTTTTCCAACTACAGTGGTTTTGGTGACAGCAAATATTGTTTTGTATTCATTATATAACCCATGAATTTGCAGTTCTGTCTTTTGAGTGGATCCATTTGCCCAAAACATCTGCTGCAAATGGGCTCTCACACCTGGGACTCAGGGCAGACGTAGCCCTCACTGTAAGGGGAAAGCTGGCATCTTTCTTCTTTAAGTCAAGGGCCCATGGTAGTCTTGGTGTGAATTCATTCTTAGGGTTTGATGAACCTCTGAGTCCACAGCAAAGACCAGGGTAGAGTGTTTGTTGCCCCTTGTTTCCATCATTCGCCACCTGGCCCTTTGGAGACAGCTAGTCTGCTCTAGACTGATAATGATGTCAACACAAAAAGAAACATAGTCACTTATGGAAGATATATAGAAGCTTGCTTCCTGGCAGATTTTTTTCCAGACAAGGTTTCTCTGTGTAGCCCTGGCTGGCCTGGAACTCACTCTGTATACCAGGCTGGCCTCAAAAATTCCCTGTCTCTGCCTCCCAAGTACTGGTATTAAAGGTGTGTGCTTTTAGAGTCACCACCATGTAGTTTCACCTTCCTCTATGCCTTTGCCACAATATCAACAGCCCCCTAAAGAAGTAGTTCCGGCTGAGTGTCAGGGAGAAGGACCAAAGATGGACACACGAGGCATATATCAGATGGGCAAGAGACCTATTCTTCCCTGAGATTCTCAAGGCTGTTTGTTACTGCACCTAAGGAAGCCTAAGATGACAAATGCATTCACCTCTCTCAGGAAGATGAAATGATGACAAATTGACAGAAGAACTTCTACTTATGATATGCCTTTCACATGCTAGGCACGGTACTGAGTCCTGTACTTGGACCATCTCAGTTTTTCCTCAAAATAGTCCTACAGATTGCCCCTTCACAGGTGAGGGAGTCAGACAGAATTTAGAGAATGGGTTCAGGTCTAAAACAAGGAGTCAAAGCCAGGATCCAAGCTCTAATGCACTGTCTCTTATCAATCTACAAACTGCCTCCCTTCTGGGGCTAACAGTTATCCTTTGCAAGCTGTAGTAGCTAAGAGAAGGGGGGGCTCAGAAGTGTGTGTGCTGCTGCCAGAAAGATACCAATCTAGACTCCACTGTTAAGGAGGGAAGTGCTGCTGGCGTGGCCTCATAGGAGGATGTGGTCCAAAGCACCAGCTTTTCACAAATGTCAGTCACCCTTATGCCTGCATGTGAGAGTGTGAGCCCAGGCCTACCATTCACTGGCAGCTGTGCAGGTCGTTCAGGAGGTCACAAAGGCCAACGGACCAACCAATCTGTTGATTTCCAGAGGCACAAGGTCCTTCTACAAAGTAGCTTGATTCTTGAGCACTTCAGTATTCAGTAGTAAGACAGAAAGGAACTATTAAAATAACAAATTTAAGAGTCGTAGAAGTAGGCTCAGGGGAAAAAGTTTTTGAACTCTGCTAATTTTAAATTACCAAATTCACAGAAGGCCAACAGGCTATCCAGTGGTAGCAGTGTTTGTCTCAGGAAAGGGAAACCAACGGCCAGAGATAGGAGGGACACTTCTCACCTCACACCCTGCACCTTTGGAATCTGATGCCACGTACACTAAGAAATATTTTTTTCCTTTAAAAAGACCACAAGTCATCTTCTTTTTGTGGGATAAAATAGAATTAGAGATGGTAAAGTATCATTAGCCATATAGCACTACTGTTATCTGGAATCACAAAGTTGTAAAACACTAACATCTGACCAGCAATGATATCTGTTAACAGAGAAACTATTATACAATAAGCAGATAAACGAAATGAAAAGCAAGTTCTGCTAACAGGCATGAGCCAAAGGCATGGGCCTACAACTGCCGACTCAGTGCTAACCTTTTGCATGCTGAATCCCAAGAGGCACACACTCACCTTCCCGTGGCTAGCTAGGACTCCCCTTGTCTCTTCTCGTGGGGGGTGGGGTGGGAGAGCGGAATGTGTAGTTATGTTAGATGCAAAGCAGCATTGACACACCAACTACACACACAGAACAAGGTTCTCCTCTCTGACCCCTATGTCCTGTGGAACCCATGAAGGGCCACCCAGCTCTGCTTTTGCTGAAGGCCGATTGGTTTCAAACGCCACAAAAGAGAAGATGCAGAGCGATGTTTTTACTACAATGAACCAGGTGGACAAACAGTTTAACAGGAAGTTCCCCCCCCCCGGGGGGGGTGGTCACGCGTGCCATTAAGGTTCTTCACGTTTTGAGAATTTGTTTTGCCTTGTTTAAAACAATGCTGGCTGTAGATGCAAGTTCCTCTCAATGAGCTAGGGAAGGGTGTCCTCTAAAACGTTCGCCTTCATCTCCCTCTGCTCCAGCTCTTAGTCTCTAAGAGAGAATATGATTGCAAGAAGGACGTTTCTACTTTTAGTAAAAGCTTTTCTCCCTGACAAACACCCGAAACTGAGATAGTAGAAGGGGAAGAGAAACTCGGAAGAAACAAAAGACAGAAAAACGATCTCCTTGCCCAACTCCCTCGGTTGTCATGGCCCCGCGGGCGGCTTAGAAGACATCTGTACGCGAATTTTATGCCTAAGTAGACCGGTTCTGCAGAGTCAGCAGCCTTTTGGGTTCCCAGTCTTGCAGAGGGAGTGAGGGGAAGCAAGCACCAATTGTGGAGACGTCGGGCGAGCCCAGCGCTTTTCAGTGTCCTCGATTCTCTGTCTCGCTCTGCCCACCCGCCAGTCCCGACTCCCACCCCACCCACCTTCCGTGGCTGCGGACCCCCTGCGGAGCCTCCGCAACATCCGGAAGTTCCTTCTGATTAGAAAGCCCGGGAAAGTCCCGGACCGGGACTTTGGCGGACTTTCTCGTGACCCGTCTGCAGCCGGGAGGTGGGTCTGCATGAACCTTGTGCACCCCGACCGGCTCTCCGGGGAGCCTTGGGCAGGCGGGAAAGGCTCCCTCGTTCAATGACAGCGCCAGCGGCGGGCGACCAGGACGTCGGCTCGGGAGCCGGAATGCACAACCGGAATCCCTTTTCTGATTTCGGATTAGGTGAAAAGTTTGCAAAGAATAGGAGAGAACAGAAACACATCCCCCGCCCTCCCAGTGTTACTCGGCTCCTCCCTTGTTTTATAAAGATCACGTATTTTATCAATCTGGGATCCAGCTGCCTATAATACAAGTTTCTTTTTTAAAAAAAACTTTTCCTTATTATATAGCGCACGTCTGTCTGTAAACCAAGCCATGGAGGGGCGGCAGAGGATGGCACCCAGAAAACTTGTAACAAAGCTGCCCTCTTTCTTGGAGGAGGAAAAAAAGAAAGAAAGAAAAGCAAGTGACAGTCCTCACCCTCGCCCCAGACTGCTGATCTAGAGATACCTTGCTTGAGACTCTGGTGGAAGTGGCAGGATGCGGCCTCGTGGGGGGACGGTCCCTGCCACCGCAGTGCGAGCTCGCCGAACCCGCCGGTCGCCGATCCTCGGACGCCACGGAGCCTCCCGCGCGCGCCAGGAGCGGCCTCCCGCGGGTGACCTCGGCAAAGCCCTCGCCGGACAGGAAGCCCGCAAAAGCCAGCCAGACCGCCACCTCCGTCCAGCCAGGCCCTTTCCCACAGGAAGCCCTGCCCCCTGGAGCCTTTCTGAGGTCTCCTGACCGGGTTTGAGGAGTAGGGCACCCGGGGTGACCGCACCTTCTCCAACAAGAGGCTGCTCTAGACGACATGTGACCGGGAACTAGACTTTGGGTGCCTTCCAAGTTAAGGGCTGCCGGGGGGTGAGTGGGGGACCCGCAGGGGGTTGGAGGACTGTAAGGATGTGTGCTGCTCTCTGACCTCGGGAACCGTCTGACTCCTCTCTGCAGATGCTAAACCCCTAGGCGAGCAGAGTGGGTAAGAGTCCAGACACAGCAGAGACGGATTGGAACCTGCCTCGAGATGTTGCCATCCTGCACGGGAGCAGTTCGGAAGATCCTTCACCTGTCACTTCTGGCTGACCCTCCTTTCCTCGCCCAACTCCGGACTGGATGGAGGGTGAGAGGGGAAACAACCTCGTGGGGGTCCTTCATAGCAGAGTGAATGTTGGATTACTAATTTCCAAAGTTCCAGGAGGTTGGGATGGGAAAACCAGAAGGCAGGTGTGGAGATGGATCAAACCGGAGAGACTCTGGCAGTCCCTCTGGGCTTGGAACCAGCATACCAATTCTCACAGTCATCCCATGGAACCCATTTATTTGTCTGGACTCTTTCCTTAATTTCAGGGAAGTACCTATTTGTAGGTCTTTTTCTCTGGCAATAAAAAGGAGGTGGACTCTTGTGTGCTCTGTTGGCAGTCTACTGGAGGGTTTTTTTTTTTTTCAAATTCAATTGGGAACCCAAGGATGGGCAAGGAAGTCTGCATTTAAGTGAGGCAGATTCCGGTAAGGGCTATAATTTAGTTTGTTAATGATCAACATCTATTATTTTTTTCTTGGAAGAGACAGCCACAGTATCTACTGTCAGTTGAGCAATACCAAAGGAGGTAAAGATAAGACATTGCCAATTTGATTGGCCCGAGTAAACTCACAATAAAATAATGTAAAAATTGGAATTTCTGCTCTCTAAACCTTTTGTTGTTGCTGGTTTTATTTTGAGACATTATTTTGTCATGTAGCTCAGGCTAGCTTCCAATTCAAGATCCTCCTGCCTCAGCTTCTTGAGTGCTGGCATTATGGGCCTACTCCATCACACCAAACTCCTTAATCTTTAAGGGTAAATGAAAGAAATGTGAAAAAAATAGAGAGACTAAGTAAGAGTAGTAAATTAGTGAATTCCATCAAAGTACATTGCACACCAGTATGGAAACCTTTACTTAATATCACTTATATAGAAATAGGGGCTATTAATAACACTGACAGGGAAAATGCAGGTGAAACTTCGGGAAACTTGAGAGCATTCTCTTAGCTTCCCTGAATTGACTGACTTGGTTGATCTAGCAAGTGACTTTAAATAAGCATGCAGTTTGACATTAGAATCTAATCTCAGTCACAGTTGCTTCCCTCTGACAACTGGTGGTGGCACACACCTTTAATCCTAGCACTTGGGAGGCAGAGACAGAGGGATCTCTGTGAGTTCTAGGCCAGCCTGCTCTACAGAGTGAGTTCCAGGACAGGCTCAAAAGCTACGCAAAGAAACCTAGTCTAGAAAATAAGTAAATAAATAAATAAAGTAATAGATCTTAAAAACCCTGTCTAGAAAAACTAATCAACCAACCAAACAAACAAATGGATCTTAAAACTGAAAATGAGCTTGTGCGCAACAACAATCAGGCAAGCGCGTACACCTCAGAGCTTCTACTGCCTTGGGGACTGAGGGATACTTGGCTGTGGCTGCAATTACTGGCCAGTGCTTATCTCCTTCCAGATAGTTACAATATGGTCATTCCAGTCATCTCAGCTTGCCAAACGTCTTGACAAGTGACAGAAGACCCAAAATGAGTCTAAAACCTTGTCTCAGGCAACAGTCAAAAAGTAATGTGCCTACTTGTTTCTGTTGAGTTCCCTGAAGATCTCCCGGGACATGCACAAAATAAGTGACCTCAAGCCACTCATTCCCTGGACTAGGCAGTCTTTTCTAATTGTGCCCTATTGCTGTCCCTTCCTATAAGACCACTAAAAACAGTTTTAAAATGAGATTATTTCACACAGTTACTTCAGATTTTGCTTTATTTTTATTCAAAGTCAAATCTTAAGCAGAGTCAAGTTAGTTAGCTTGGAGAAATGCACAGCCAGAATGTGGGGCCCTTACAAATCTGCTGAGCAGGGAGAGCAGAAAGAATGAGATTAAAACATATTGCATGAGAGTCTCAAAAATATTTCTCCTTAATCTGCTAAGAACATGGCTGTTGGAACCCGTGTTTCATTTCTTCCTCTTCCTTCCTTGCCCACGTCCTTCTCCTCCTGTCTCTTCTACTTTACTTTCCCTCCTTCTACAATTTCCTTAAAAGGAATAAAAGGTCTCCCCGTACAGCCCTGTGTGGCCTCACATTCATGCTCTTGCTGCCACTGTCTTCTCAGTGCTAGGATTACAGGTGTGGGACACCATGCCCAGGTCTGTAGTTTTCTCCTTCTACAATTTCCTTAAAAGGAATAAAAGGTCTCCCTGTACAGCCCTGTGTGGCCTCTTGCTGCCACTGTCTCCTCAGTGCTAGGATTACAGGTGTGGGACACCATGCCCAGGTCTGTAGTTTCCTTTTTGAAAAGGGAGCAAAACTTTGTTTACCCTTTGTTGTGGTTGTCACGATAACAAGTTCTTTTGGGGGAGTTGTGAGTCTAGCCTTTAACGGCTGAGCCCTTTCTCCAGCCCACAGGTTCATCTTTTTGTCAAGGTGACTTAAGGAGTGAGGCTTTTTGCAGAAGTGAGTTCCAGGATGCTTGTGGCTACCAGCATCCTTTACATCAGAGGCTAAACTCCTTTCCCAGGGCTTTAGTGGAAGCCTCAGCTGGCTTTTACACTTAAGTCTCCCTTGACTGAGTCAAAGGCGTTGAGTGATGTGGGGTTCACAGGAAGTACACTGAGACTGAGCTGAGCTCTTTAGGGAAGTAGATACTCCAAGAGCCAGGCCTGAATCGTTCACTAAGTCAGAACAAAAGTGAACAATATCATATATGTTCTTAATACAAAAGGAAGGGGTATCCAGTCATAATGGGACTTAGTACTTAGCTTGAAAATAGCATTAAATGTCCACAACCCAGCACAGTTCAATCAATCCTTCAACAATTTGAAACACAAATTCTACTCCTGTTTTAAAATTAAGTAAAACGTTGTCAAGGCTCTCCTATTGAGCTGATGTTGTCTCATTGTAATGGAATACCCATCGTCACTACCAATCCCCAGGATGTAGGTTCCATATAATTTCTAATTACCACACCTAGAAACTTTAGCCGAGTGGTTCTGTTTTTAAAGTTGAGACTACAAGAAAGGGGTTGTGGAATCTCCCTCTGTGGCTAAAGAAAGCCACCGAGGCTAAGTATGTTTTGGGGTGTCCCTGCATAGAAGCCCGGAGAGGCCATCGTGTGAAGCTGTGAAGATGAAGCAGATTGTGTTGGAGACTCCAAGATATTGGGGATTCCAGAATTGTGAGATACCTGCCAAAGAGAGCTGCAGACCCAGTGTGGAAACAGCTCAAGAGAGAGAGAAGTATGTGGCAGTCAACAAAGTAAAGAGCATTTGTGTCTCAGAAGAGACTTTGAGCTTAATACTTTTAAACAGTGTTGATACCATTATAGACTAGGGGGGACTTTCGAAGTTGGACTGGATGGATTTTTGCATTATGATATGGCTACAAGGCTCCAGGGACTAGGGAGTGGAATGTTGTGCTTTGAATAAGAGTGACCCTTATGGGCTCGCATATTTGATGGTTGGTCGTCAGGGAGTGACACTGCTTGAGAAGGTTAGGGAGGGTTAGCCTTATTGGATTAGGCATTACATTGCTGGAGGAAGTGTGTCACCTGGGGTAGACTTTGGGGTTTCAGAAGCCCAAGTCAGTCCCAATGTCTCTCTCTTTCTCTGCCTGCAGATCCAGATATAGAACTCTCAGGAATATGTCTGCCATCACCTCTCCTGTCCACCTGGCATTCAGGCAGGACTAGTATCAAGTGCATAACCTGATTGATTTTGTTGTCACCTTGTTGAAGTTCTCAACCAAACCACTTTTGAAGAGGAGCTACATATAATGTTGCTGGCTTTGTC